TGGTGTAAAGTGAACTCCTGCACACACATGGCCTCATTTTCTGGATCAGTAGCACAGATATCAGGAGAAACACTCTCCATTTCAGTTTCCCTAGAAGGGTACTAAGAATAGGGAGTGATAAAGCAAAATATTTCTTCGTAAACATGGAATTAGTTTTCAATTTATTAACAAACTTTTTTTCACTTGCTGATAGGAAAACTGCATACCTTATTACAATCTGCAGGTTTCTTGGTTTGTTTTTTTAATTGCTCAAGGAAGCAGAACTGTCTCCCCTCCCACTCCACTCCTCAAATGAATGCAAGGTGGTTACTCCACAAGGCTTGTTTGGGGAGGAGGGTTGTTTGCTTTTTGAAGCCATTAAGGGGCTCATTCCTTCTACGATGATAACTCTTCCTCCTTCCTGAGTATTATTCCATATTGGCACCTCTCTTCTGTCAGAGGTCTGTTCCATTTGATCTCTTCTCACACTTTTTTCACATTGCAATGCAGCACAGTACACAACAGCTGAACTACAGAGCAGAGACTCTACTAGTGTTGGTGGTGGCTTCCTTCTCACCCAGCATTTCAGCTTCATTTGGCTTGTGATCAGTGATTGACTCCCTAATGTGAGTGATGGACTCTCTTTTGCTCCTTCTGCCCTGCCTCCCTTTTTTAAATCCTCCACTGTGCCAAAAAACATTACTTTGAAAGGTATTTGGAAGCTTTTTGATTTCAACATTTTCAAAGGTGTCAGGCTGGGACTTTCCCCAAGAATAGCAATAGTTAAGTTAGCTAGCTATCATGTTTTAAATGTTTGTTATATTTTTAAAGAGGTTTTTTCCTTTCATCTGAAATGTGCCAGAAATATGGGGTTTCTGTTCTATATGTCATTTCTCTCACTTTTATTTTCCTGTTTTTAGTCAGAATCATGTTTTAGGAAGACAGGAAAGAGGCAGAGCAAATAGTAAGCATGAATCAAGGGCAATTTCCTTGTACTTCCCTCAAAAAAACCGTCAAAAACAAGAAGCCTCATTTGTTTCAGGTTTTCTGCAATGAATAGCACTCTCAGTTATCAAAGTCCCATTGCAGATGGGCAATGGATATATCTCGAAGTGTGACAACCTGCTCAGCTTAAGACACTAAAAGCAAGTGGTTGCTCTGTGCCTGCCAGCAGCTGCATACAGATGGTGATGCACTGAACTCATCCACAAGAGTTTGAACAGTAAGGTGCACAGTAAGTCCACTTTGGATTTTAAGCACTTTTTTTAAAAAAAAAATTACTTCTAATTTTCACTCATCCTGGGAAGTTTTTGTCCTTTGTGAGCTTCACAAGTCAAATCAGGCAAGCAGGACACCACTTATAGTTCAACTCCAAGTGACAAAGTGTGGAGAAAGGATTCGTCATCACATTAAGTTCTGGGAACGGCTTTGGGTCCAAAAGATTTCACTGTAGTCAGTGGAGAGAGATGGCAACTCCCAGCTCAAATTGCAGGTATGTGAAAGCACAGTTTGGAAAGGCTCTTTTCTCTCTCTGTGACTTTGGAAAGAACCCAGGTAATGAAGACAGATATAGATAGACAACAGCTGTAGAAAAGAAAAAGGCTTTTTTTTTTTTTTTCCTTCTTTTTATCAGTCCTTGCTGTATAGGGGAAAAAAGGTCACACACACACACACACACACACACATCATCCCCACTGGACAGAGAACAGTATTCATGTCCCAGGAAATGCAGAGTACCTTTGTGAGATGTGGAGTCAGACCAGGACTACAACTTTTACAAGTGCATATATGTTTATATGCTTTACTCAGCAAATATATAAATGCTTGCACAGCATCAGGTACATAACTCATCTTTGCATTCATGCTACCACAGTGTTTTTAGAATAAACTTTTGTCCTTGCACACCAGCCATATGCATGCCAGGAAAATTGAGGCACAGTTTAGTTTGGTGCAATTCACACTGAACATGTG